GAGTGTGTGTGTGTGCGCGCTTGGTGCGCAGGCAGTCGCGAAAAATATTAAACGTCAGCAGGGACAAAAAGTATCCAGTTTCCGGCGCAAGGACCGAGTCTCAGTGTACGAATGAAGCGATCGCACGATAGACTACGTCGCTCGGATGTCGATCGGTCCTCCTCGTTCTCTCTCTTCTTGCACATCCCGCCCCAACCCCCAACTACTTATAACTTTCATTCGCTCGCTCACTCACCTCCTACAAACCCCCACCCACTAATCGTCATCCTCCTGCACCACCCAGTCGCGCCACCGCTAGCCCCGGAGACTCGACGAGGCACGAAGGATCGGCGGCGTTGGCCCCTATAATCGCGCAAATGAAACCCTCCAACCCATAAACAAAAGCTCGCTCTACGTTCGCAGGATATAATATGTCTCGGCGCGACGCGTCGTCATGGCTAGACACGAGGCTCCTAACAATCTGGCTGCTGCTCGCCCTCGCGCTCCTCGGACACGGCGCACGAGCTGCGAAGCTGCCATCCACGGCCCTTGCGGTCATCGTCCCGGCGATGAACGCCACCGAGGACGAGCCCCCCAGGAACGCGACGATGCCCTGCAACGAGGCACGGCTCAAGTGCGCCTTCCGCACCGGCTGCGGACGGGCCCTGCAGTTCTACCTCACTCATTGTGCCTCCCAGCTCCAAGGTGACGTTAGCGACTGCCCGGAGATCTGCCAGTACGCGCTCATCGGTCTCATGAGCACCGACCAGGGCAAGGAGCTCATGACGGTAAGCGACCGAGGCAAGATCGTTACCACGTTCCCTAATGCCGCTCCTGGCTTAGCTCCTCCTCGGCTGTATAATAATAGCCCGCGGAGCCTTCCAAGGTCGCTTCGAGTTTGCTTGTGTTTGTATCGGCCAATCGGATACCGTCGTAAAACTATCGATACGCCGGTTAAAAAGGGGCCAAAGCCAGTAAATTTAATACTTGATGATTTTTAATTTATTGGTTGCCGATGTACGCGAAATCCCTGACCGAATGGTCCGTGGGCCACTCGCTTCGCAACCACCTTCATCTCGGGGTCCCTTGAGCGAAGAGTCACGCATAAACGACCTCAGCGCGAAGGACGTGTCCTACCACGTCGCTCGACCATTGCAAACTTAACCGCGGCTTCGCCAAACAATCCCAATTAAGGAGTCCCCCGTGTCCGTTATCGCGCACCCGAGCACCACCACGGACATCGAGCAACCCGAGAAGAAGAGCTGGTGGGAGAGTAAGAACGGATCAAGAGGTCGCGCATCGGTATCGTTATATAATTATTCTATTTATCGACGTAGCCCACGGGGGCAAGAATATCGACGTGGAGCACGCGAGCGACGTGGATCAATTAACGATGTACTATTATTGGCCCGTTACAGTGCGACTGCGCCAAGGACGACGTGCTGTGCACGCTGCCAAAGTCGCAGGTGGAAATCTGCCGGGCCTCCGTCACCACGATGATGAACCGCACGAGGCTCTCTTGCCGCGCGGCCACCTCCATCTGCAACGCCGACGTCCTCTGCTCGACCGCGCTTCAGTACTACAACGAGAACTGTAAGCGCATGTTCCTCGGCAAGAAGTGCACCAAGCGGTAAGGAAAAAAAAAACGGCCGCGGCTAACTGGCTAAAGGGAGGCTCGACACCACCTTCTTTCCCGTAAAATTGCTTCTCTTCGTTCACCTCGTGACAATCCTATATCATTGTCCGAACGTGTAGCTTCCTCACACTCCCGGTTAATGATCCTTGCTTTTTCGATATGTCGCTTAGAGATTATTAAAGTTTCTTTAAAAGCCTTCACTCGCTCACCTTACGCGCGCGCGCCACTTTTATTGGCGATCCATCGCACTTATCGCTGATATCGTACATTCTATTCATATATTGAAATATCCGTAAGGTTCCTCATACTTTAACGAGGATTCCAGAGACTCGAGGTCGTCGATCATAACTATTTCAACGACTATCGATATTAAATTTAATTATAATTAACATTGATAATTAGTGTATTATAACGAAAAAGGAGAAATGAGAAGAAATAAAAGCAGAGAGATGAAGCTTTAATGTAACGAGCAAATAATATTAACGTGTACGTATCCTGTGGCTTTATTGCGTGGATTTTCAATGAAATTACTCGAATTAAATCGCCGACAATAATGCGTCTGCGCATTCATGCAGACTTAAAGTTTCATGGCCGCTATAAATGTTACCTGACATATGCGAATGCGCTGCATCTTTGGGAAGCTGCACATTTTTACTAGCTATAATCGACTTAAGTGTGCCTTGTACATTTATATCATTCCTAAAAACGTAATTAGCTAATTGCATTATGACAACGAGTGTGTAAGGGTTTTTTCTTTTTTTCATTCTTTTTCTTTTTTTTTTTTTTTTTTTTTGCATTGTTTTTCAAAGATTTTTCAATTATTTAAAGAGAAGATGACAATATTTTCTTAAGTTTTCTCGACTTTTTTCTTGCTTTCGAAAGCTTAGCGTTACTTTATTGCCTCGTGCTGATATTATTTAAAGTTGAAAAAAAAAACTTTTAGCCACCATTCGCCAAATTTCACCAATTACACGGGACTTTCTATTTTTCATTAATAAATCCTTGAAAAAAAGAGGCGTCTCATTCTCTCGACTTTTACCACTTCCTGACCCTCATTATCAGATCAGATCATATATATATATATATATATATATACATTTATATATGTATAATTGCAGTAATAACAATAAGAATAATAATAATAATACTGTTTTAACGAACGCAGTTGTTCGTCGAAATAAAAAAAGGACTTTAAGGACTTTATGGAATAAATGAGAGTTAGAGATATTGCATGAAATTACGGTATATAAACGCATAAGTATTAGCGATGATGGCTTATTTCTTTCTTAATTGTCTGTTGGGTTGGTAGACCCGTTGGGACGAAGGCGGATATTAGTGTGGAAGTATTTCGATGTTTACTCGTGGCTTGGTAATCGACAAGTAATCGCTGCTTTATTATAATCGCATTAAAATCACATCATGTTTTTTCGTACGAACCCGATGTTCGGCGTCTCGCTTACGAAGCGCCAGGACGACGTAAGGGATCCATCAGCCGGACGAGCGATGCGTACGCGTACGTGGGACGGGGTGGTCAGCGAGTAAAAGAAACGATTACGGGGCGGGGTGGGGCGGGAGGGATGGGAAGGCGGATCTGGAGAGTCAGAGGGATTGAAAAAAAGAGAGAGAGAGAGAGAGAGAGAGAGAGAGAGAGAAATCACAATCGATTAATGCCGTTGGCGTTCTGTCGTGCAGCTGCCGCAACTCGATGAACATCCTGCGCCGGCAGGAGAAGGCGGCCAAGCTAAACACGTGCTTCTGCGACGGCGCCGAGGAGTACGACTGCAACGCCATACACCGCAACATGGACGAGCTCTGCTTCAACAAGCCACCCCAGCAGCATCATAACTACCACGAGGAGCAGCAGTTCGGTGCCGGGGGTTCGAGCGGCGGGGGGGGCCCCGGGAGCTCCGGTGATCCACGGACAAACAGGATCCCGAGCCGGGGCGGGCCCACGAGACCCAGCGCATCCTGGGCGATACTTCTCCTCGGCCTCGTGCTCCAGCTCCGCTCCATGGCACGAGAAGGTAGGCTCGAGCGGGCCGCATAGTCGTCGATCCTTACTTTCGCCGCCGGTAGCTCCTCCGGCATTTAGGCTTGTCCGCGGCCTTGGTAACTGGAACCCCAAGGGCGACCTCCTCCTCGGCTATTAAAAATCCTTTTTAGCTAATCATCCGCGCGCCCCGACTAAGCGGCTTTTAACTTAAAAGGCCTCGCAATCGGCCTCGTCAAATCGTGAATTATCAGGGAGGCTTTGTCTCGCTATCAATCGTAGGATTCCCCTTATCCGCGGGAGGTATCCCCTTGAATTATGGGCATTTTTGGCCAACTGGTCGCTCCAACTCCAAAGTGGCCGGTTGTCGATTGAAATGTCGCCGCGACGGGAATTAGCGGCCGTTAGCTCCGCGTCAGACACGATATTAAAATTGCTCGGGCAAAGTGTGTGGAGTTGGCTGGCTTTAATCTTCAGAGCCTTCTAATAAATTCGGAGTTCGGGATGAGGTTAGAATTCGCGACGCTGGGGCCTTAAGGACGCGCAGCGGCGACGTGTAACGGCAGCCCCAGCCAGCGGCAGCAGTAACGGCGGCACCATTTTTATTGGCCGACGTGAACGAGCGACGAAGCGGTCGAAACGGATTATCGGTACATTTAGAATGCTTTAGGAGGGAGGAAAAGGCCCCGGGGGCCCGGGCCCCTAGTATATATCTGTAGACCTGACCGGAAGGGACATATTAGGAGAAACGTCGAGCCGAGTGAGCCCAGACTCTGCGCGCTGCAGCCTAAAGAGAAAGAGAAAAGAGGCGGGAATAGATCGCTCGGCTTCGTTGGAACTTTGTTGGAGTTTTTATCGGCTTTTCGTTTTTTCCTCTGCATCTTTTTCCTTTCTATCCATCTTCTTCGTTCATCTCTACTACCATCACTGCTACTACTACCAACCGTTACCACTGCTACTGCTACGACGAAAACAACAACAGCAACGACCACGACGACCATCACAACAGCAACAACGCCGACGACGACCACAACGACGACAACGACGACAACGACGACGACGACAACGACGACAACGACGACGACGACAACAACAACATAATACTAATACTATCAATACAATCACTACTTCACTACTATTAGTGAATTTTAAATTTCCGAAAACATTTCCTCATAAAATGTCTATCCTTAATGTTGGCTCTTCCAACATTGAATTTCCATTGAAAAAAATATCATTCAATTTCTCTCTTCTATTATCAATCAACATTTTGACTTTATCTCGTATTATTGTTAAAAAATAAACGTCGAGAGGCTGTATTTTATTATATTATTTAGCAGGCAACAACGTAAGAAATTTTGTTAATAAGAAAGTGATTTTGAAAGGACGGATTAATGTAAAATCTGACAATCCTCCCGTGCTATTCTACCAGTTTAATAGCGACGATTCGATTTCACAATATTTACCAAACTTTCCTCCTTCTCGCTCTCCCTTCAATTGACCATTCTTGTTTAACAAACTGTAACGATATTATAATTTACGTTCAATGACTTATAGCATTTAAAAGGCGGATTTGAACAAACATAGTTTTGGACGAGCGCGGCGTTGAATTACGAGGAAAGAAAGGTTAAAGAGCATTTAGAGAGATGCTGTCAGTAAGGGACTGAAAATAGTTTTTTCTCGACAATAGGGGGTTAATTATCGGCTTCAAAGGCACATTTGGTCGCAATAACCGTAATGTTTGGGAGAGGCAATGCCGCGTGTCATATATCATTGTTTCTAAAAGGAGAAAGCACGGCAAGAGCCGAAAGGTTTTCCAACCGTAACGGTTTCTCCCCTTTCAAACGTACCGCACCTCGCTCTACCAAAAACGCAAAAGCTAACGAGTTGGTGAGAGGAGAAGAAATAGAGAGAGAGAGAGAGAGAGAGAGATAGCTGGATAGACACACAGAGACAGACAGACAGACAGACAGACAGACAGATAGACAGATAGACAGATAGATAGATAGATAGATAGAGAGGCGAGAGTGCGCAAGACCTCATCGCTCGCTCGCCTATCCCCCTCACTTCCCCCTACCAATGTGATGGCACACCATAAAACGATCTTCTCCCCTGTTTTGTTTCAGAATGACGACAAGCGTAAGCTCCCAACACGAACGTCCGGAACAGTATTTTGCGAGTGAACGACCAAAGACTCCGTAAATGTTTATACCTGCGGCGAGAGCAGCTCCTCGCTCGATATCTGGCCCCATCATCCTCCAAATCAAGAGTGACAAACGCATCCACTCAACATCTTCGGTGCGCGAACTCAGAGCAAAGAAATATCAGCGAGATGCACCCGAAGAAAAATCCGGGCGACGACGCGGCGCTCGGCACACGGAGCCCGAGCACAACTGAGATCGAGACTGAGCGAGAGAGCGAGAGAACTAGCGAGAGAGCGAGAGAGCTAGCGAGAGAGCGAGAGAGCGAGAGCGAGAGTGAGAGAAAGAGGGAGAGAGAGAGGGAGAGAGAGAGAGAGAGAGGGCGATGTACGGAGCGAGAAAGATAGAGAGATAGATCGCGAACGGCGTGGCTAGAGGGTGGAGGGACGGCAAGAGAGTTCGCGGCGAGAGAGAAACGAGTTAAAAGAGATGGAGAGAGCGAGCGAGTGGCTGCACGCGAGGCCTCGAGGAAAAACGAACCTAAGAATGCGACGACCACTTCCGTTTCGCAATGTAGATTAATTATGGAGATTATGGCTTGTAGCAATTATCTTATAGTAATTTATGTCGTGTGTGTATGGATTTACGTGGCGAGAGGTGAGGCAATCGTTCTACGTGTAATCAAATCATTTTTGCCACTCGTTTTTATTATTAATACTATTCGTACTCTACATTGTAATTCTACTTGCCAATTGTTTAATTCTCATAAATGTTAACGTGGTACGTTGGTGGGATTGACAACCCGATGATTGAAAATACTCAAAAGGAATCCGGGATCTTATCTCTCTCTCTCTCTCTCTCTCTCTCTCTCATCTCTCTCATCTCTCTCATTTCTCTCATCGCTCTCATCTCTCTCGTTCTCTCACTCTATTCCTTTTATGTTTTTTGTTATTTTATTATTTTAAATATTTGAGGTTATTGTTCTCGTGTATTGGATTTTTTTTTTTTTAGTTTCTAAAGCGTTGAATATTTTGTTGCGTATTATTCTTCTTCCTTGGGACGGAGCACCAATGTATTATGACGTGTAACAGCTATTACCTATGACTGGGGACTGGTTTTATTATTGTAAATTAATTTTTAGAGCCGATTTGAGAAATCGGATCATTTTACAAAGGTCAAAGGTTAGGCTGTTACGCGTGGAATATTCGGGCGACATAATCGTGCGCGTTGGTCAAAACCTGTTTAACTCAATTTTATAGATTTAACAAACATACATAGAAAGTATAAATAAATAAATAAATAAATAAATATATATATATATATATATATATATATATATATATATATATGAATAAATAATTATGTGGGCGTGTGTGCGCGTGTTTGTGGGCGTGTGTTTGTAGATGGGTGGGTGCTTATATATACGTATATATGAAGAGAGATATTCGTCGGAATGTCGCACTTTGCAAAGTGTTATGGAAACTCAAGTTTCGGATGAATAAAATATTTTTATATCTATATTGTGCGTAAACTGAATTGGATTGATACCTTCGAATGACGTACTATTAAAACAGGACAAGCAATCTAACCAGTCGCTTTCCGCCATGACATGAAATGTGTTCCTAATATCGCTTTATCGATTTTTGTACACCGCGTGAAGATTTCTATTTTGTAGCGGATCGACGCGATGTGCAGCTGCAGGTCGCTTCGTATCTTCCATTTTCCTCAAATCCAGTCTCAATGCTAATAAGCAGCAACAAGTGTCTCAATATTAAATTAATATCTTTTATAAAGATTGTTTTGTTTTAAGTTTTCGTTGCTTTATTTAAGCGCTTGCGTTATTGATTTGTTTGTAAAGCGCAATGATTTAATAAGCTGTGGCTTTAAAACTGGAGGACTAAGCGTACATAATGATTGAAAATTAAGATTCGAAAGGCACGAGCACTCGATTAGAAAAATATTACGCATACGTGCATAAGCATTTAACTGTAATCTTTTTTCGTTTACAAGGACAAACCTTACCCCCCCCCCAACCGCCGTCAGAATACAAAAACAAAAACAAAAACAACAACAATGACGACGACGACGACGACGACAACAAAAACAACAATAATAGAAACGACAGGAACAATAGCAATAGTAGCAGTAATTGCTGTAGCAGCAGCAACAGCAGCGACGTCAACAATAACAACAACAACAACAGCAACAACAACAAATGCGTATACTCGCCGATGAGCCGTATAATTGTGTAAATATGTCCGATATGTCATGTTGGCTTGTGTATATAAATTTTATAAAAAAAATCGCATGAAATAAAATCTAATATTATACGAACGAAAGATCAGAAGGAAGGAAAAAGATGAAGAAAAGAAAAAAAAAGAAGTAAAGCATAAACAAAAGCAATAACGTCTATTAATGTATTATTATTAATTTTTGTGAATAATATAAGAGGGAGAGGTTTGCACTACCAATCGAGCAACGGACTTCTTCGCAATTAATTCTCATTCGAACGTTCTTATCGTTCACATTTCTCCCACGACATTTAAAGAGACCGAGTAGGTGTACTAGCACCCGCGCATGATCGAATCATCCGCTTCGGGCGAGGAAAAACGTATGTCCAGTGTCGGAGGAGTCCGATGCCGAGTCGGAAGGAGAGAGCCCCCCCCCCCAACCAACCAACACCCCCGCCCCCCGCCCCGCCAACCCGTTATTAAAAACAAAAGATAGGGCGTAACGACGTAGCACACACCGAGGGCATCCTTGATGTTGATGCGACGTAAGATTAGTCCTCGACAAATTGCCAAGCTTAACCCGGATATGGGGATACGCTGCGGTTGGTTTGCCTCGAGCCAACACCGACTTAGCGGAAGCAGCGAGTATTTGCATGGCCACGAGCATCGGTCCGTCGAAGAACAGGACCGTCGTGGGACGGACGAGGAAGGGTGAGAGAGGAAGAGCCGCGGAGTGTAGAGCGGCGACGTGGGGCTAGTCGTAGCGAGGAGTTGAAAATGGCTGGGCCACGAGGGCATCCGCAACAACAGCCCGATGGAAAATGCGATACGGGGAGGAAGAAAAGCGCGCGGTTCGTGTGGGAGCGAGCGGTGGTGTCTGTTATATGCTCCCTGTAACGTCCAGGCGTAAGAGTGAAAAAAAGAGACTTAGGAAGAATAATCATAATAAGACGTAAAGGAAGGCCGAAGTCGGTAAAGGAAGTAGGAGTAAGGGGCGAATGGGCGAGGAGGTCGAGGAAGCGCCTGGGTGGCGAGGGTGGGAGGGGTGGAGGAAGGGAGGCCGGGCTCGTAGATAAAAATCCGGGGCATCGCGGATCTCTTCCGCGGCTCGTCTTCGTCTGCTCGGCCGGTGAGAGCGAAGAGCAGGAGAACGAAGGAGAGCGAGCAGCTGTTCTCTCTTTCTCCCTCGGTCGGTCGGTTTGCGCGCGCGGCCTCGGCCACACACGACGTCGCGCCGGTGGCACTCACTCTCTCTCTCTCTCTCTCTCTCTCTCTCTCTCTTTCTTACGGCGACCTTCGGCACTCTTTGCGCTCCCTCTTGGTCCCCATTATCCGCGCGGAGGGCCGCCGAAACGCGGGTGGTTGGGGGTGGTGACCGTGGTTATGGCGAATGGGGCGGGTGGGTTGACGGGGGAGGGAGAGGGGGACGAGGATAGGTGAGTAGCAGCGATGCAGATAAGGAGAGGGCGAACGGGAAAACCGACGACGACGAGCTCGTGGAAACGTCGATCGCCCTGGGAGGAAATGGCCTGGCTTATTGGAGCACGGCCGAGCCAATGGCTCGGAGCCGTAATTGCGGAAGCGCCATTAACGACCTCCCGGACACTCGCGCGGCTCTTCCGCGCTCTACCGCGAGGCACTCGTGTACCTTCGGACACGTTAATTAATCACGGTCGTCGGGTGATAGCTCGAGCGGGTTCGAGGCGCGACGATTAGGCGTTTCGTAACAATCGTTTAAATGCGCCCCCCTCCCTCCTCCTCCTCCTTCTACTCCTCCTCCTCCTCCTCAACCGTCACTCGTCGGTGCCGTTCGTGTCGTGAAGGAATCGCGATGCGACAGCGACAGTCCCACGATGTAATAACGTGCACCTCGAGAGTGTCCTCGCCGCTGTCTCATTGGGCGAGGAGTCGTTGGCCACGGAACAATATTGCGCTCGCCGAAGTCTCTTGGACGTTAAAAGCAATCATTACCCAATAAACAGTAAATTCTCTTCTTCTTCGATGAATACTTCAATTTTAGATGAAAAATGGAGAACGAGGTGGGGTTATTGGGGTGATGGTTGCTGGGATTTGGGGCGAGTGGGGAGGGTAGGGGGTTAAGGGAAAAGAAAAGAAAAGAAAAGAAAAGGATAAAGTAAAGAAAAAGAAGAGAGAGATAGATAGATAGATAGAGAGAGAGAGAGAGAGAGAGAGAGAGAGAGAGGAAAAAAAAAGAGGAAAGCATTCTAACCACCTGCTCGAGTAACCGGTTTTTCACTTTTTCACGTTTCTTTTTCTCTCTCTTTTTCACTTTTTTTCCTTTCATTTTTTCTTTTCTCTTTCTCTCGGTGAAAATACGAAAAAACGAGACAACTACCTTTTTTCCTTTATTTTGGATGATCTGCTGCCTAATGAATTATCGACAAGCGCTCATATTTATGGGAATTTTGCAAAATTATAAAATCGATGAGTGAATTTCGGTTGGCTTTTGCCTCGCTTGGACCCTTCGAAGCGCGTAGATAGAGCAAATTACGTAATATCGCGTCTTCAGCTGCGAGCAATTTAAAGATGTAATTTTGTAAAATTACGCGAACACATTCGAAAGAAGCTGAGATAAATGAACGATTGCGATTGTCGGCGATGTTGGTATGGGATGGGGTAAGTGGGGAAGGGACAAAGATGCCGGACAGATTCGTAGATTAAGGGATATTGGCGCCGAAATATGATATATCGATAATTTAAAGATGGTATTCGCGTCGACGGTCCACACTTCCTTAAATCATTTCCCGAAAAGCCTTGGGAATTTAGGGATTCAATGACGCTTAATTATACGAGTGGACGGAGTAGCTGAAGAATATAATGTGTCGTCGTCGATGGAGAAATAGCAATGCCACGCCGGGGAAATGGACCTTTAAAAATGCCGACTAAACCCGTCAGAATTGTCCGTGAGGACTTTTAACGTGGCCGACTTAAATCAGGGTGCAACAATGGCAGCTCAATGAAAATCTTCTAAATTATGTCGATAATGAGGCTTCAAAGTATCGCGTCCATTACTCTGCACAACATA